CAGAACTGGCTTTGACAAGCACTGTGGCAACTGGACAATTACAAAAGACATTCGGGTGGCGGGAAGAAGAACGAACTGGGAAGGAGGGTAAAGAAAACAGTGCAACAATGAATGAATGAGAACCCAAAATCTCTGTAAATGTTCATTAAAACGAATAAAATTTAATAATAATTGAAAAAAAAAGAAATCTGAACCCGGGCCTGGCCTGTGCCATCCTCACCCCCTCTCATATGGCTGAGCTCTCTGTTACAGTCACTGAGTCAATCCATCTTGTTAAGGGTCTTCCTTTCTTACAGTAACCCTCCACCTTTCCGAGCTTGGTGTCTTTTTCTAAGGGCTGGCCCCTTAGACAATAAGCCCACAGTGTGCAGGATGAAGATTCTCCATCCTTGCTTCTAAGGAGCACCCTGGTTGAGCTTTCTCCAGGACAAGCTCGTTTGTTCTCCAGGCAGTCCATGGGATACTCAGTAGATCAGACAGCCTTACATTTTTCCTTTGTTCCTCTTCTTTTATAAACCCACAACCTAAACATTTAAAAATTTTTTTTCACACAATTGTTCTCAACTTTCAAGTCAAAATGAAATAGTTTCATGCAAAAAAACCCATTTACTCACTAGAACAGTCATCATGATGTGCTGTAACACAACCCACAGCTTTTCTTGACTACTCATTCTGCAACCATCTAGAAAGGATTTTAAATAAAATTTCAATTAAAAAAATGACTTACCTTTTTTTCCTCTTCCTGGGTTCTCCACAGTGTTCATCATCACTAAAATCAGAGTCATAGCCTCCATGGCCTTGCATCTAGAAAGGAGAAATGAGTTGTTTCAAATTCAAGTTGACAGCAGTTGAGATAATAATTACTCACAAATAAGCTACCTTAAAAAGTCACAACAGCATTAGAGAATCGTGGCAGGAATACTGCTATCTAGTCACGTAAAACTTTCCTTCACTTTGAAACAAATGACTTCTTTAAAAAAAGTCACATGTACACTGATTAATTTTCACCTGTAAATATTAGGCAACAAGGGAGGCAACCCTTTGATCTTTCTATCGAGAACCAGGCCCAGAAGCTACAATATGACCACACGCAAGATTTCATACAAGACTACTCAACTCAGTGGCATCTAACAATAACCCAATACATGAAGAATGTGGTGTCAGGACTGGAGGAAGACTCCTAAAAAACCCGAGTCATGCAGATGACACTATTGCATGAAGAATGCGAAGAGCTGTAGTACCTACTGAAGAATATCAACGACTACAAGCTTCATTGTGAATTACATTTCAGCGTCAAGGTACTCATCACTGGAACAACAGGCAATACATGACAAATGGAGAAAAATATGAAGTTGTCAATCATTTCACTTTTCTTACATCTACAATCAACAACTGTGGCAGTAGCATTCAAGAAATCCCAAGAGGTGTTACATTGGGGAAATCTGCTGACAAGAACCTCACCAAAATGCTAAAGAGCAATGATATCAGTTTAAAGACTATGGTGTATCTGGTTCAAGGCATGACATTTTCAACTTTCTGAAAGGTTGACAATGAATAAGGATGACCAAAGAAGAATCAATGCCTCAGAATTGTGCGGCACTGGAAAAAGTCCCATGGACTAACAAAAGAACAAGCAAGTCTATCTTGGAGGAATTGCAACCAAGGTGCTCCTTAGAGGATAGGATGGTAAAACTTTATCTTACAAACGTTGGGAATGTTGAATGGCCAGTTCATGTAAAAAGACACTATTCTGGAAAAGGTGGCTGGTCAGACAAAGACAGAAAGTACTTCAACAGGACGGACCGACACAGTGATTGTAACAGGCTCAAGCATGTCAGAGAGCATGAGCATAGTTCAGGGTAGGGCAAGGTTCAGATCTGTTGTTCGTTCACAGGGTCACTAAGTTAAAGTCGACTCAACGGCACACAACATCTCCATTTCAGAAAGTGAGAAGCCAAGGAAAATACATAATGGTTGCACAACATATTGAATATACTATAAGTCAGTGAATCTAAAACCAAAACAAGTTCAAGTCTATTGTGATTCATAGCCAATCTACAAGACAGAAGAGAACTGTCCCATAGGGTTTCTAAAGCTTTGAACCTCCACAGAAAGTGTCTCATTTTTCTTCACAGAGTGGGTTCAAACTGAAGGCCTTACTCTTAACCCACTACACCACTAGGGCTCAAATAGCCGTCGAGTAGAAGTTTACCTTAAGGGACCTCTGATGACACAGCCCACAGGAAATTTTGCTGCTAACCCAAAGGCTGCACCTCTCTGGATGTTCAAATCCACTAGTCACTCCCTGGGAGAAAGATGCATAATCTCCTCCCATGAGATGTACAACCTCAGAAAGCCAGCAAAGAATCAGCTATGGGTTGGCTGGCTCCACAATGAGTGAAGTTCACCTCAAAGAGGCTACGTTTATGTTAATACACCTGTCACACCACCTGCCAAAAAAAAAAAAAAGAGGAAACAAAGAATAAACTAAACTAGCAAGTTTTCCACAGCAAGTAGCTGGCCTACTTGATTATAAACTGTATTTCAATTACTCAAAAGTGCTTCTGTAACGCACTAAGTTTTTATTAGCTATGTCCTAGAGAGGGTGAGACCAGGCTGCTCCTTGGAGGCAAGGATTCTGAGGCTTCGTCTAACATACTTGGGGCATGTTGCAAGGAGAAACAGCTCCTTAAAGAGGAACATCATGCTTTGAAGGGTGGAGGGACAGAGAAAGAAAGGGGGATCATAGATAGATCAGATGGGTTGATACAGTGACTGGGGTAATAAGTCTAAGTGTGTCAGAGACAGTAAAGTTGGCACAGGATAGAGCAGGCTTCAGGGCTGCTGTACAAAGGGTTGCTATGAGTTGCAAGTGACTCGATGGCATATAACAACAACAGCTTATTATAGTATGTTAGGGAGCTCTAGTGGCTTAGTGGCAAGAAACTGTGCTGCAATCCCAAAGACAAGTGGTTCAAATCCGTAGAAGGATGGGAAATCTCCTCCCATGTAATTAACTGCCTCTGAAAACCTGCTGGAGTCAGCTATGGTTGGTTCTAACGCAAAGGTACACAACAACAACAGTATGTTACACTTCCAACCAAAAGGCCGCACATCTCCAGCAGTTCAAATTCACCAGCAGCAACTCACAGGGTTTCCAAGGCTGTAAAGCACACTGTTTCAGTTTTCTCCCTCGGAGACTGGTGGGTCTAAATCACTAACTTTTAGGTTGGCAACTAACTGCATTAATCAATGTGCCACTAGGGCTCCTTAAAGTACTGTGAATAGTACATTACTGACAAAAATGTTGCCTGTTCTTTTCTTCTTCCACACATGGAAAAATGTCTACATTTTTCTTCAACCTAAGTGACTTCACACTAAAGTACTTTGGCCTTTGGTCTTGTCAGCTTTACCTTAATTCCTTTTGAAATTCTCAGAAATTTTGGAAGACTTCAGTGATCACTGTATTATTAATACTATTTAAATTCGTGGATGGTGCCAGGCATTATACTGCACTTGGAACATGAATTCATAATTAATGGATAGGTCATTTGACAGCTGGATGTCAGAAAGACTCAAAGCTTGATTGCTCCATTAACTCCAAGCCTAAATATTCATTCACGTAGCTAGAAGGAACCAGACCAGATCAAAATAATGTCAAATTTGTAAAGTTTTCCTTAATGCCAGTATAAAAGAGGGAAGAACTCTTTCCCTAAACTATATATAGCACATTGAACCTCCAGCAGAAGATCTGTTTCTGGCTACCTTCAGTATGTTACATAACTTTCTTGGTCTTCACCTTGTAAATAAAGCAGCTCCTTAAAATAATCCTAGGTGGGCATATAGATAACTTTTAAGTTAGGTATGTGCCTGTATATTTCTCTGTTCTACAGAATTCCATAGAGAAGGTTCCAGCCATTAATTCCCAAGACTTGCTAGCATGTCAAGACTTACAGACAGGCCTGGCTCTCATGCCCTCTAATAGGTCAATTTCCTGCTCCAGGACTTTGATAATCCCATTCACTCAAGCCAATGATGTATTCTTCCTCCCTGGCTCATTTTTTCCCCCCACATCTTGATGGCACTTACAATGTGGAGATTAACGATATATCCTAAACCAAACTACCACTCTCCACTTTCCATTTGGCACTCCCTCCCCCCAAAATACATTGCTTAAATGACTCTGCGTCTGTTTCACCATCTACAACACAAGGCCAGTAAGAGGACCCACTTCGTAGGATTGGAGTTTAAATAAATGTTACCACATAGAGAGTTTCAGAACAATGCCCTGTATATGTTAACTATCACCCTCCTCGTCACGACGTTTTTTCCTTGTCCTCTTGCTTTTTCTCTATCGCTTTCCTTCTCCAGTGGCTTCCTCACCCCTCAGTGCATTAACATCTCCCTTAGTGGTTGTACCAAAAAACTGTCACTCACTTCAGTCTAGGGATCAACTGACAAGGGCGGGGGGGGGGGGGAATCGAGAAAAGAGATGCTGGCTGTCTCCTGAATCTGTTCATTTAAAAAAAGAAGAAACGAAAATTACAATCAGGTAGCAAGCTTCGAAGCACTTCTCTCCATCCCCAAATAGACCCCCCACCACACACCCTTTCCCTTCCGCTCTGCTCTGCGTGGTTCTCCCCCACGCCCCCAGCCGTTCTTTCCTCCTCTCTCCTCGCGGCTGCAGCTACGATCCACGGCCTAAGCCGCTGCAGGGCCAATGCCCAGGATGCGCACTCCCGCCGCCACCACGGCCACGGCCACGACCGCCCCACGCCGCCCCCTACGGGTCCCGATATAATACCACTTCCGGTCCCGCAAGGACGCGTACTGCACCTAATAGGCACCGTCTTCGGATGCGCCTGCTTGGTGTTACAATCAGAACATCCCTAGGAAACAAGGGCAGTGAGAGAACAGGACCGGGACAGGAGGGGAAAAGGCTTCCTTTTCGCTTTCGCGAAGCTGCAACCAGTTTTTTCTGGGATCTCCGTCCCTTCATTCTCAAGGTAGTAGGAGTCCAGCACCTACTACCTTGTGGCTCAGCCTTGCATATCAGCTCCCTAAGCTCCCTCATTTGAAAATATTTTTTTGCTTTAGAGTAAGCCCTGCCTGTATTATCACCTGCTGGCCTCTTTCTAGTAACCTTAGTAACGCCTCCTCGGAGCGTCCTCCCAGCGCATTTCAGCTTCAGATCTGCCTGCTCCACACCCAATGAAAGACTTCATAATTAGGACAAAAATAATTTTTCCATCGTTTCACCACCCGCACAAAAGATACCGTTCCAAATGCAATGCTTCTGGGAGGGGAGCTAATAGAGTTTGTGAAGAAAGCAAGAAAACCATGAAAGGGAGTAGGAGGAAGTGCACAGGGTCGCAGATTCTCTACAGAACACGGACCCAGCACGCATGAGAAGAGATCCAGAATAGATTCTATCAGAAATAGTAAGTTCACAGGCAAGACATTACTTTAAATTAAATTCCTTTACGCGCCATTAGGTTCTCTTTGTTTTGCTCTTTCTACATCATGAAGTCCCACTCAGCTTTCCAGCTTAGTTACTTGAGTTCAAGTCTTGTCTCCCTCATCAGCACCTATTCATCTTTGCTTCATCCTCAAACGCTTTGAAAATTACGCTGATTGAATATTCATTTATCGACTTGAAATGGCAAGCCTCTGGCTTTTACAGTGGACCCATTTAAGAGAAAACACGGGCACTTAATACACATACATCATTTTACATTTTTTAACAGTGTCCTTATTTGTTCAAGGTTCTCTTCTATCCCTGACGGGAAATGATAAATATATTC